GGACACACAAATACCTTCAGATTAGAAATTCCTGATCTTTTATGTCCGGAAGCACTGCAGCAGACACAGGGCACCCCACCCAGCAGGCTCCTTGTTTTGTTCTGTTAACCTTGCCCTTGAAGCAGGAGACCAGCACAGAAACAAGCAGTCACTCACAGCACAGAACTCCTGGGTCAGCAGACCGTGTGTTGTTGGTGGAAATGAGGTCGGATTCCTTTGTTCTCCTTCTCTTTGAGATCTCGTCCTGTTGTTCTCCTCTCAGAAGTCTTCTCATTTTCTTCAAATGAAGTCTGCTGAGCTATCTGTTCGGTTCCCTTTCCCTGTGACTTTTGTTCAAGCGGCTTTATTTTCTTTGCTTCCATATGGGACAGATGTGCCATTGCCCTTTTTAAAAAACCTTTTCCAAGAATTGTATTCCTTTGATCCTCCATCTCTTTCATATTCAAATCAAAGGCTTTTATAAAACTTCTGTTAATATATTTATCATCATCATTATTGATCATCATCATAGCTATTCCTACCACTAGACCATTTATTGAGAGACTTTGGCCGGGTTCAGTGCTAGGCTCCTACATGCATTCTCTCAGTCCTAGAAATGACGATCTCTTTAAAGCAGATAAACTGAGGGTCAAAGAGCTCAGTAACTTGCCCAAAGTGGTAGGTGGGATTTGAATCCAGGTGGGCAGTTTGACACCAGAGCCACACTCTTATACTATCGATTCGGGGAATAACTTAGAGTTTAGTCATTCAAATGACCTCTTGTCTGATGGATGAACAGTTTCAGGGCCAGTAACGGTGATGATTATTGAAAGCTAATGTGCATTAGATGGACGGTACTTTTTCTTCACAACCACCTTACACAGCAGAGGCTGTTGTCCCCTGTTAAAATGGAGGATGTAAGGCTCATCATCTCCCCCTCTTGGTAACTCAGCAGGCAAGTGTTGAATACATCCAACTCTGAAGCATTTTTTACTCTGAAGCAAAGTTGCCTTAAACTGAATACATCCAACTCTGAAGCATTTTTTACTCTAAAGCAAAGTTGCCTTAAACTGAAGTGTGTGAAATGTAGCAGAGTTCATAAATGGTTGCGTTTATGCTAATAAACAGCCCCGGAAGTGTGATGGGAGGAGAGAATGCTCTAATGACAAACTGAAGCATGTCCAGGTGAGAGGGGTTCGCTGAGAAACCAGAGGCAAACGGAGCTGAAAAGTCCCAGTCATAGCTGTTGTCATCATTGCTCAGCATAATAAACTTTTTGTTTGAAACCGACAGCCAGCATCATGATTAACCTTGAAACACTAAATATGTTGAATAAAGTTAAGAACAAAACAGAGGCCGAGGCCAGTTTGGCTCAGTGGATAGAGCGTCAGGGTCCAGGGTTCGATTCCGGTCAAGGGCATGTATCTTGGTTGCTGGCACATCCCCAGTAGGGGGTGTGCAGGAGGCCGCTGATCGATGTTTCTGTCTCGTCGATGTTTCTAACTCTCTGTTCCTCTCCCTTCCTCTCTGTAAAAAATCAATAAAATTATTTAAAAAAAAAAAAAAAGAAGAAGAAAGAAAGAAAAGAAAAGAAAAGAAAAAAAAAGAACAAAACAGAGAACACCTCTACCATAGCTACAAGAAATTATATTTGAGTAAAACCCACGTTCTTTCCCTGACTCCTGGGTGCATTCATCCACCCGGTTCCTACATCATCAGTGTCTCCTGCTGTTCTCCGCCTTGCTGGTTAGTTACATCAAATCCTACACACGGGCTGCTGATTCCTAGAATTTACTAAGCTTTTTCCTGCTTTGAGGCTTTAAAAGAAAAACCAAAAACATTTTTATTGCTTTAAGAGAGGAAGGGAGAGAAGAGAGATAAAAACATCATTGATGAGAGAGAAGCGTCAATCGACTGCCTCCTACTGACCCCCTACTGAGAATCAAGCCCGAAACCCTGGCATGTGCCCTGATCGGGAATCAATCAAACTGTGACCTCTTGGTTCATAGATTTATCCTCAACCAGTGAGCCACACCATCCCGAGAGGGCTTTTGTGTTGTCTTTCCATCTGCCTGAACACTGTGCCCCAGCTCTTCACTTGCTAGTTCCAGCTCATCTTTCAGGAAGCTCTTCCCGGTCCTCAGCCTTTGTAGCATTCCTCACATCTGTAATCATCCTATTTTTCTTGCTTATTTCCTGTCTCTTCTCCTAAACTTGAGCTCCATAAGGACATGCATTTTTTCACAGCTACATCTCTAGCACTGAGAAGAATGCCCTATACATAGAAGTCGACATGTAAATATTTTGGAATGAATGAATGAAAATTATTACCTTCCTATTATACCAGTGGTAGCCAGGTAGGAAATAGAATGGAGATAAGAGGACATTAATGACAGAAATAAAATATATTTTTAAGGAGCCTAGGAGTAAACTTAAGAAAACATGCATAGGACCTGTATTCAATGGCACTTACTATACTGGGCACTATGATTTTAAAGATGAATAAGAAAAATGGTCATTACTTGTTATGAACTTAGAATAATATAGTTACCTGAGAGACAGAGATGAGAACATCATTTCTCCTAAAAATAGCATATATATATATAATTTAATTCAAAATTCCACCTGTATATTTGTGGGAGCAGGAGATGGGGAGGCAGAGCAGAACAGATTATTTGAAGTTTATCTGACAACAAACCCCAGAGACGACTTGGTTTATGTGTTTAAGAAGAAAAATTAGATGTACCTTGATTAGACATATTTCAAAACGACTGCAATATGGTACCAGCTTTGGAATAAGCCATATATGTAAGAAGTGAGTATAAGATAAAGATTATATTTCATATCACTGGAGAATTAGTGTCTTTGTGAACCATTGATATTGGGATATAGGTTGAGTCATTTGGGAAGGGGGGGGAATTAGTCTAAATCTTTACCTCCAACCATAAATTATTTTTTTAGGTTGATTAAAGATTTAGTTATAAAAACTGAAACCATCAAACTTCTGGAAGAAAATACAGGTGGATTTAATATTGATAATTTAAAATGAAAATACAGCACGGCTGGTGTTGCTCAGTGGTTGAGCATCAACTCATGAACCAGGAGGTCACAGTTTGATTCCTAGTCAGGGCACTTGCCCAGGTTGCAGGCTCTAGCCCCATAGGGGATGTACAGGAGGCAGCCGATCGATGATTCTCTCTTATCATTGACGTTTCTCTTTCTGCTTTATTGCTTCTCTTTCTCACTCTTTCTCTCTGAAATCAAGAAAAATAAAGACTTTTTAAAAAATGAGAATATAGAAGGATGTAATTTGGTGCAGAAGAGGCCTGTACTGTGACTACAGGCAGAAAAAAAACCTTACAAGAAAGTTAATAAATTTGAGTACCTAAGATTTAAAATTCTTACATGGCAAAGCAAAGAAGGGGATGAGCCGAAGCCGGTTTGGCTCAGTGGTAGAGTGTCGGTCTGCGGACTGAAAGGTCCCAGGTTCGATTCCGGTCAAGGGCATGTACATTGGTTGCGGGCACATCCCCGGTAGGGGGTGTGCAAGAGGCAGCTGGTCGATGTTTCTCATGGACATTTCTAGCTCTCTGTCTCTCTTCCTTCCTCTCTGTAAAAAATCAATAAAATATATTTTTTAAAAAACAAAAAACAGATACACCTATCTTTTTTTTTTTTTTTAAAGGGGGGGGTGTGGGGGATGAATTTTAATATAACAACAGATGGTGATTAATATATTCTCATAAAGTAATAAGTAAGTTATATCTAGAATTATCCAATCTTGGAGCCAGAAAGGATCTAATCCAATTCCTATATTTACAGATGGTGATGCTGATACCCAGAAAAGATAACTGCCTTACTCAAAGCCATACGGCTAGTTGGTCACCCCTCTGTGGTTGAGATTGTGGGTATCTGGGTACAGAGAGTTAATAAGATAATGCAACCAGTAAACCTCCTGAAATTTTTTAAGTTGTAGATAGTTCAAAGTATAGCCAAGAATGGGTCAAGGTTTGTTGGAAAAAATAGATTTTTCATGCTTTAGATAAAACAGGATTCTTAGTTGGTAATATGTCAAATGACATTTTTGAGTTTGGTTTTTTAAAAATAATCTAATAACTAGTATATATTAAATTTTACATTTTTATTTAAATTGATATTTTGATTGTATACGTAGGTTTGCTTTGATTATTGCCCAGGGAGCCTTAAATATTATTTGAGCAGATGTCACTCGGGTGTCACTGCATGCTAGCCACGTTTACCTGACTTTCAAGCTTAGCACTGAGTAGAAATAAGCAGAATGTGCCAGCCTTGTTTGAACATATAAATCATATAAAGTGATGATGGCATTTGTCCCACCTCCTTCATAGCAAAAATCATAGTATTCATTCAATTTCTCTACAAATTGTGTATCAACACTACACAAGGCTGGGTAGATTCAAAAGAAGCAACACATACACAAGTAAACAAAAGCATGGAGCCGTGGCCCTTGCCACACACATCCAGCGTGGGAGGCAGCAGACTTTGAAGATGTGAGCTGAGGGTGCACGGTGCTGTGTGCTGTGTGCTGTGTGCTGGTACCTGCGAGAGCCACTCGCCTGCGCTGAGGGATGAGCTCAGAAAGTTTTGGCTGGTTTATAAGACGAATGTCAGTAATCAGTTCCTTCAGATTAAATTCCCTTCATTTCATTGTTTTAGGAATCCCCTCTCCTGTGCTGGGTGTGTTTCTGTGCTAAGAAATTTCTTCACAAGCATTCTCATAAATGTCACTTCCATGCCAGAACCCTTATGCCAAGAACAAAAAGTGCTGTGAGCATTTTCCTGTGGCCTCTTACCAAAAAGATCTGGGTTAATTTAATACCATTTAAAAACAATAATTTTTAACTACTGCTGATAGGCTTTTCCTCTACTTATCTTCTTTTTATTTTCTAATTCTTGTTTCCACTCAGTGTAACTCGTTGAGTGTAATTTTGGAATGTGTGCTGTGCTTCCTTCAAGGCGTCCTGTGTTACTGTCTCTTCCAGGGGCGAGTCGGGTGCTGGGAAGACGGAGAACACCAAGAAGGTCATCCAGTACCTCGCTCACGTCGCCTCCTCACACAAAGGCCGAAAGGACCATAATATTCCTGTAAGTTCCTGCTCTGCGGCTGTTGTTTTAAATCTTAGATTTATGCTTCCATAATTTCAGAACCACTGAGGAAGCCGGTCTACCCAGTATGCTGCTCTCTGATAGCTCCCTGTCCCCCTACCCGACCCAACAACTCTCTCGTTCACTTAAAGGGAGCCGATGATCAGGAAATGGCTGTCAACTAGCCTCTAATAATATGAAACTGGAATCATGGCTGTGTCTTGAAGCCTCATTTCTTGCAAAGATTTGGTGAGAATAGTTAAAATCGATGAGCAGGGTCTGTGAAAACTTATTTTCCGCCAAAAAAAAAGAGCCTCAAATATTTTAGGCAGTTCTTTCTGAACCTGGCAGAGCAGCCAGTTGCTGCTGCCCACAGCAGCTTGAGGGGAGACTAGAAATTTGGGAAGAATTGGAGATAGAAAAGGGGTAAGGATATAAATGTCCTCTATCCTTAATTTATAGATAGCAGAACTGTTAGTTAATGTGGCCTGAAAGAATGTCAGCACCCAGCACTCCCAGTTCTCACCGCGGGACTGGGCGCCTGGAGGTGCTTACTGTGAGGGGAGAACCTTGCTAACGTTTGCATTTGTCTGTTTGTAACGAGCAGCAGGAATCGCCTAAACCCGTGAAACACCAGGCAAGTGCTTTTCCTTATGCTTCTTAGTCTTGAGTGTTCGCACTAATTTTTGTCTTTAGATCGAGTCCCTACTAGAAACAAATACCCTTAGTTCTGAGTGAAGTCTATTATGAAGGACATTTTGATTTTGAAAATTGGTTGCTTAGAGGCTTGTTCTTTTCATCAGAAGCAGCATGCCGTTTTGCTTTAAATTTGTTTTTTAGATGAACTTTAGAAATTACGATTTATCATGACATTGAATCACTCATTTATGAAGCCTAGCACCTCAGGGTTTCATATGCCAAGAACTAGGTGGAATTATATTAATGCTTCTTAAACACGTGGAGGCCTGGCCTTGTGCCATGTATTACATTTTGAATCTGGGGCTGCAACTTTCAAGGTGGTATCTTTTGGGTTAGGTTAACAAACTTCAAATCTGTTAAAATGTTATGGCCATATGTGCTTTAACCTAAAGGTCTACTTATATTTTATAAACTGGAATTTTTTATCTGTGGCATGTCTTGGAGGAGTGTCAATCTTCCCAGCTATCAGATGCCACCTCTTTAGCTCCACAGAGCAGAGCAGTGAACACACTGCCAACTGGAGCACTTGCTGCCCCGGGGATGAGGGGAGGGCGGAGCCGAGCCAGTGCCTCAGGCAGAATGGGACATCATCCTTGGTGGTAACCCTTCCTAGCAATGGTCTTGATTTGTCTGTCTCCACAAACATAATGCCACAAAGCTAACATATAGCAAGAAAGGGTATCGAGTTATGGAAATCAACTATTACTATAAGAAACTGTCACAAGTTTCTATTCTAAGGAGAATAGAATAGAAATAAAGGAATAGTCATAAATAAAGGTACTAAGATTTTCAGATGTCTTCCTTAAAATCGTAAGAAATTCTCACATCCCAAAGCTGTCCTATACCTCTGAAGGCCTATGGTGTCCTTCAGCTCTTCTAGCTGCAGACCAGACCATTCAGACAAATGGGAGGGTCAATGAAATATTCATCATCCTATAGGATACTTAAAGAAGGAACCACTGGACCAGAAACCAGCTTTTGTCCTCTTAATAGGTACTTGGACCTCTAATCAAATGAAGGACAGATTTAGGTTTGCCAACCCTCTATGGGAAACATACATCATTGTTTGCATTTTGTTTCGATGTCATTTTAAACTACCTAGTGGATCCCTGTTGTATGTGAGCAGCATGCCTCCCCCTAGATTTTGCTGTGGGCCAATCAATCCCTGGGTAGCAAGTTCTCCCAGAGAAGGCAACTGCTTCTCTAGGCCGCACTTCGCTGTCGTTGATTTGCATGTCTCCCTGCATGGATTTCCTGTGCACAGCATCGTCCAGGCTGCTTTTCCCAGATTTGTTTCATAGTAGTCTAGTCAAGGAGTAGCTACGATTATGTCTTTAGAAACATGAGAACACTGGTTCTCTATTAATTTTTCTTTTCCAGCACACTTAACGGATATGAACTACTTATGAGTAGGGAATGGGTACACCCTGCAGAGGGTCCTAGCCAGTAATTACTTCTCTGTCCACACTCCCTTCCCCCTCCCAGGGTGCCCCTATTCATGATTTCCATGCCCCATTTTGAGGGTGGCTGTCATAAAGTAACAATTATAACGTTGAAAGTCTGTACTTCGCAAGTCAGTGTTTGGGCTTGAAAACACTGGTTTGTTAATTTACATCGATGAACTTCATAGGCAAAACTGACTCAGGTTCCCAGGAACCATTTGTATAAATTTCTAGCATTTTATCATCAGTACGATTTCTAGGCTCCTGATTTGTGAGTCTATTATTATTTATCTATTTGCTTATTAAAAATCAGCTTTATTTATTGAGGTTTAATTCATGTACCATAACATCCACTCATTTAAAGTATACTGTCCAGTTTTTAAAGAATATGTAATTATTACTGCAGTTAATTTTAGAACATTTTTATCACTCCAAAATGAAGCTCCGTACCTATTCGGAGACACCTTCCATTTCCTCCCAGACCCTGGAAAGCACTAAAATACTTTCTCTCAAAGAATTTGCCTGTTCTGGGTATTTTACATGAATGGAATCATTTAATACGTGGTTCTCTGTGACTGTTCTTTCACATATTGTTTTCAAGGTTCATTCATGCTGTAGCATGTATAAATATTCGAGTCCATTTTATGGCTGAATAAAATTCCATTATATTAAATATGTCGCATTTCGTTAATCTGTTCAGAAGTTGAGTTGTTTCCATTTGGGGGCCATTGTGAATAAGGCCACACTAAGCATTTGCATACAAGTTTTGTGTGGACATAGATTTTCAGTTGTCTTGGGTGTATACCTAGGAGTGGAATTGGTGAGTTGTGGTAACTGTTTGGTTAACATTTTGAGGAAGTGCCAAACTATTTTTCAAAGCGACTGGACCATTTTTGTACATTTTCACCAGCAAAAAAAGGAGGGTGCCAGTTTCTCTATCCTCACCAACACTCTCCTTGTCTTCATTGTAGCCATTGTAGCAGTGCAAAGTGATCTGTGCTTTTTATTGGTGCCTTTGAAACTTACAAATACATGACATCAATTTTTAAAATTTAGCTCACAATATTTAAGTAGCCCCAAGAGTCATTTTGTAGAAATGAATATATAAGCTGCAACACGCAGAACACCGCTAATGGAAGGATATTAATACTTTTCTTTCTTGAGAATAGCTCACAAACATTAAGTAAACATTTACCTATAAACTTTTGATATAGTTTTTATAATAAAATTACATCTTATTTGGCTTTGCCCCTCAGCCAGCTGAAAGTAGTTTCTGCACCCTCTTCCCTTGTCATCGGTCGCTGTCACAGCCTCAGAGCCTGTACGTGTTCAGTGCCACCCAAGAGGCCGAGCTCAGCACAGTTTCAGAGAAGGTTTAGAAACAACCAGTTTCTAAAACTTGGCCATTCCCTAAGAGTGACCCATCAAGCCCGCTCACCTGCCCCAAAGCCAGATAGCAGCTCGGGCTACCATTACATTTACGGTCTAAACAGCCTTGAGCTAAGACACAAGGTGATAGCCAGCAAGTACAGAAATTAGACCTGCCAGTGTGACTAGAGTCTATTTCTCAGGGTTGTGACTAGCTGCTGCCATCTCGTTCCATCCCTCCTCCTGTGGTCAGTGCGACACCACGCCTTTGCCCTCTCAGCCTGCAGGTGCCGGATGGGCTCAGCCTGAGTGCCCTTGGTGGCCAAACTGAAATTTTGAAAAGGGTATATAGTTTTTACCAATTTAAACTCATCCTCTATCATATAGTAAGTGTATATTATACACTATGTAATATACAGGGTTTTCATCGCCATTGGTCAATCTTTAGACCATTCAATTCTAAGCACTTAGAATTTAAAAAATAATTTCAGAAGCTATAGTTTACAAGTGGCTTTGTCATTTGGTTGAGAGATCTTGGCACTGTTGAAATATGAAATTGCTCAACACAGAAATGATCAAATTTAGGGGTAATTTTTAAATGTAAGACCATTTTTGTGTGTTTTGTGTCAAGTTTTTTGTGATTCATTGATGAGTTTTTGAGGTCTTTGCCTGGTCTCTCTGAAGCCACAAATCAATCAGGACAGAAGTAATACCACACGCTATCACTGTAGTGGCCCCAAGAGGGACACGGAAGTACCAAGGTCTGCAGCTACTTACGTGACTACAGGGATCCTTACCCAAATCTTATCACCACCTTTAGCTCACCACCATCCCTTCCCCAAATGTTACTAGAAAGTTCTAGGATCTCTGATTATACATTTACTCAGCAAATAGTCCTGGTGCATCATTTTGACTCGTTACTGACTGAGCTAGGTGCAGGGAAAGCCAGTGATTTTCAGCCACAAAAATGTTTAAAACATGCAATACTTGACTGTAGTCAGGGGCTCAACTCTTCCCTTCAGTTATCAAATTTAAAAAGGCCAACAGCCAACAGAACAGTAGTGGTCCATTGTGAATGAATCAGAATTATACTTGTTCACGTCGGGGAAAAATACATGTTTTTCAGTATACTGCAGAATTTTTTTTAAAATATATTTTATTGATTTTGTACAAAGAGGAAGGGCGAGAGATAGAGAGTTAGAAACATCGATGAGAGAGTCATCGATCAGCTGCCTCTTGCACACCCCCTACTGGGAATTTGCCCGCAACCAAGGTGCATGCCCTTGACCGGAATCAAACCCGGGTCCCTTCAGTCCCCAAGCCGATGCTCTATCCATTGAGCCAAACCGGTTTTGGCATACTACAGAATTTTAGTAACTAGTTTATATATGCCATGAGATGAAAAAGGTTGAAAGTTGCTGCTACAAGCCAGCAGGAGATAATCACACTCACACAAGAAAAGAATCAGTAAACTTGATCCAAAGAATTCTTGAGGCCATGCCAAAGGAATATTAAAATGAAATATGCAACACTTGTATTGCCTCCCAAGTTAGGAAAATATTTTAAAGGTAGATTACTTCTTAAAGTATTTTTTTCATTACGGTTTTATTTGGCAGAATAGTGTGTAATTTTGAGGAACCTATTCTAATTTTTTGATCTAACAGATGTTCAGTGTTGTAAAAGGTAATGCCCCACTTATGAAAAGTTGTTCTAACAGTTTCTACATTCTGATTATACATTCTGAGTGAGGTGAAAGGATTCTAGAGCCCAAACAACTATTCCAGAGCCAGCATATGAGGGCTTTTGTAGGATGTTAGTTAGCCATAGGCACATCGCTGGACGTGACCTCAGGAGAAGGGCACTCTGTATCATAGAATACTAACAGTATTTTAAAATATATTCTAATTGATTTCAGAGATGAAGGGAAAGGGAGATAGAAACATCAATCATGAGAATCTTTGATCAACTGCCTCCTGTACACCCCCTACTGGGGACCAAGCTCACACTTGGGCATGTGCTCTGACCAGGAATAGAATGGTGACCTTCTGGTTTCATAGGTTGATGCTCAACCACTAAGCCACAGTGGCCAGGCAGATACTAACATTTTTAATGATGACTCTCGGTCATTAAAATTGGCTCGGGATACCATGTTTAAGAAATTTTGTTAGCGTATAATATTTAGGTTTACATCAGAAATAAGCTGGTGTTTTGAAGTTAATAAACTAGATGATTCACGGTACAAAAAGCATATCATCTAATGCCAAGAACGTGCTTCAGTACTTGCTAGCATGAAATTCATGCAGCTTGGGGTTCTGACAAGGACTGGTTCCTAACTGGTCTCAGTGGGACACCATCGTAAACTGTAATTAGCACCTGTAAGAGTCTGAACAATCCAGATAGATGCTGCAGAGTAGACATATAAGGAGCATATCTCCTCACTGTATCGTGTGCCTCAGAAAAACATCCTCTTTTTTCAGAAAAAGCTGAATACAGGAGTCCATTTGGCGTATATTCTGGTTTTGGATTTGATTATAGTGTAATTAGTCACATAGCAACTGACCATTAATTAACAAATCTTATGTGAGGTTCCTTATATTCCTTTTTTTCCTTAGAGAATCACATTTGCTAGTGGTTGTTAGTTGTTACCCTGTTTCCCCGAAAATAAGACAGTGTCTTATATTAATTTTTGCTCCCAAAGTTGCGCTAGGTCTTATTTTCAGGGGATGTCTTATCTTTCCATGCCCTAGGTCTTATTTTCGGAGGATGTCTTATTTTCGGGGAAACGCGATATTATTTATTGAATTTTAGAGAATTTTTAGAGAGGAAGGAAGAGAAAGAGAGAATGTGAGAGAGAGACATCAATCGGTTGTCTCCCATACAAACCTGCAACCTAGGTATGTGTCCTGACCAGGAATCGAACTTGTGACCTTCTGGTGCATGGGATGATGCTCGAACTAACTGAGCAACGCAGGCCGAGGTTACTAGTTTTTAGTCCTTTCTTTCATTACATCTAGAGTACTTGTGGGTATTTTAAAGTATAGGGGTGAGGTTTGTGTTTGGAAAAAGCAGAGTTACTAAAATAATGCAATATAATTCTGAAATTACATTCCAGGAACCAGCATTACTTTCTAGAGCTTTTATGGTCAGAAATGACGACTTATTTTCTCATACAGCTTTCTGTTGTGTTTCCTGATAAAACACATATTAATATGCTCACAACTTTTTGTAAAATCTGTTTTATAGCCTAATTTGCATATATGAGTAAAACATATCAAAAACCCCACATACATTATATCAAATACTCTATACTTAGTCTTTTACATTTGAGTGAGAAGCCAGTAGTATCACCATCTCTGCTCATGGAGATGGATGAGGACATTGCCTGGTCTATGTTATTAAAATATTATGTGAAACCCTTGGGAAAATGACAAGCTTTATACCAGTAATTGTAACATGTAAGTATTAATATGTTCTTAATTGAAGCTAAATTTTATTTTCTGAAAACCAGTTACTTTGTTTTATTTTCAGAATTCGTTGCCTAATTTAAGTGCCCTGTCCTTAAATTTGTCTTCTCTGACCAATGTGACATTTTCTTTATAGATGCTAACTCTCTTCCTTCAGCGGAGCCTCTTGTGACCTAGAAGCCAACAAAGGTTGCTGGATGACTGACGAAATGGAAGGACTGAGGGAAAGAGGCAGTTTTTTGTTTTAGTTTTAGTTTTTCCCCCTGAGGACTGGAGTAAAGACACGAGATTAACACACATCTGCTTTTATTTGTGTGTATGTGTGTGTACGTGTGTGTATGTGTAATGTCTTTTAGGGGGAACTTGAACGGCAACTTTTGCAAGCCAACCCAATTCTGGAATCATTTGGAAATGCGAAGACTGTGAAAAATGATAACTCATCTCGTTTTGTAAGTTGAAACTTAATTCTTCAGATTTCTAGTTCAGTGTATATTATGATTCATTTAAATACAGCACTGTATAAAATTTTGGAAGAGGATAATCAATATAGTATAGAATAGTACTATCAATAGAAATGTAATGCAGGTAACCTGTAATTTAAATTTTTCTAGAAGGCACATTTTAAAAACCAGTTGAAAAATTGTGAAATTAATTATCATTATATATTCTATATAAATAGGTAGTTATATATTACTAGAGGCCTGATGCACGAAGATTCGTGCAAGAAATGGGCCTTTCTTACTTTGGCTACCGGCATTGCCTTCACTCCTGTGGAGCTTCCTTTCCTCCTTCCCACGCTGCCCAGAGGCCGGGAGTGGCTGGGGCAGTGCCGAACACTTGTGTCCCACCGTCTCACCCTGCCCCCGCCACTTGACACCTGCAAATGAAAATTAAGCCACCATCTTTGTTTGGTTAACTTGTACACTCTTGATTAGCTGGTGTCGCGAAGGTACGGTCAATTTGCATCTTACTCTTTTTTTTTTTAATATATTTTTATTGATTTTTCACAGAGAGGAAGAGAGAGGGATAGAGAGCTAGAAACGTCGATGAGAGAGAATCATCGACCAGCTGCCTCCCGCACACCCCCCATTGGGGATGTGCCCGCAACCAAGGTACATGCCCTTGACCGGAATCGAACCCGGGACCTTTCAGTCCGCAGACCGACGCTCTACCACTGAGCCAAACCGGTGCCGGCTGCATCTTACTCTTTTATTAGTGTAGATTGCATGGATATATAATTCTGTAATGTCTCTGAACTTATTTTTTCAATTTTGATCAGGGATGATATGTAATACCTGTTAGGGGGTTGGCATGGGAACTTTAAAGATGCATGTTTGCTGTTTAACACAGCACTAGGCATAATAGATGCTCAACACATAAGATTGCTATTCAATGTAGTAAATTATCCTTCTCATGTCTTGCTGTTTTCATGTCATGGACTTCAGAATAAGTTGTCATTACTATTATTTCTCTTTAAAAATTCTTCTGTTCAACTCTCTTTAATTCATTAAAAGCTTTACTTTCTCCCTCAATTTGATCAACTATAAGAGTTCGCCTGAGCCAAAACCGCTTTGGCTCAGTGGATAGAGCATCGGCCTATGGACTGAAAGGTCCCAGGTTCGATTCCCGTCAAGGGCATGTACCTTGGTTGCAGACACATCGCCATTGTGGGGGGTGCAAGAGGCAGCTGGTCAATGTTTCTCTCTCATCAATGTTTCTGGTTCTCTATCTCTCTCTCTTCCTCTCTGTAAAAAATCAATAAAATATATTTTTTTTAAAAAAGGTTCGCCTGAGGACATTATCCTATGTGATAGCCAAGTTAGTCTTAGTATGAGGATACTGTCTTCCCCATTCTACCTGCTAAGAGTCAACACTTTCATGGCAGATCATCTCCAAACCCGTATTCAACAAAGTGGTCATTCCTTCAGTAAATCTTTTGCCCTGGATTATAGTCATCAAGAGTTTAACCCTTTCCACAGTCATTTTGGAGAGGTGTTCAGTTTCAGTTATATTTCTACTTCAGTGGTTGGAATTAATTGTTTTTCTCCCTCTTCTGATGTTAGATGCGTTGTAAAAGTCAAGAAGGCCAGAATAAGTGAGGCTTCAATTCACTGGCTAATTTGGGGGAATCTGAAAACATTGTTTCACACTTTTTTATTCTGGGAATGTAAAGTCATGGTGCGCATGCTAATTTTCTGATGACATGGTCTCCGTGCTCAGTGGAAGTGGCACTCCGAGTTTGCTAGGGCTGCCATAACAGACTGCCACCAACAGGGCGGCTGAAATCACAGAAGTTAATTGTCGCACAGTGGAGGCTAGAATTCTGAAATGGAGGGGTTGGCAGGGCTGCTTTCTTCTGAGACCTCTCTCCTTGGCTTGTAGATGGCCATCTTCTCCATGTCTTCACATGGTCTTCCCTCTGTGTGTGTCTGTGGCTTATTTTTTCTCTTAAAAGGACACCCATCATTTTGGATTAGGACCCACCTACTGACCTCATTTGAACTTAATTATTATACCTAAGAAAAACCCAATCTCCAAATATTATCATGTTCTGAGGTACTGGGAGTTAGGACTTCAGCATATGAATTGGGGGAGGGCACAACTTTGTCTATAAAACCATCAGATATTTTAAGTACAAGAGGCTTCCAAGTTATGTAAGAATAAGGATCTATTTGCTTAGAATATTGTTTGTTCCTAGTAAGAGAACATTTGAAGAGTCATTTAATCCACCTTCACTTAGTAATTATTTTATTTATGTACAAAGTGGGATAACAAATGTGCCTATGGCAGTAGGAAGCCTGCTGAGACTCTTGGCTATCCAAGACATCTGGGGATACTGAGCGTTGTTTGTAGAGTTTCTGTCATTCCATTGATCATCACCATTGAGCCTGAGCCACATTTAAATCTTCAATTCTTTCTTCTGAAAGCCCTGTGTTTAGTGGCTGTATCATGGCATAGAAGACACTGTGAGCTACCAACTTAGGTATGCGATCTCTGAAGATTTTCAAGGCCTTCTTAGTGGAAAATACTTTATTTTACCACATAAATCCAGTTACCAATGTGTTCTGATGTTCTCCCCTAAACCACACTTTAAATTCAGGAAAAACAGTTATGAGCCCATTTATCTTATTTTTGCTTAGAAAAGATAAACTGCTATGAATCACTCATTTGTGTCCTTGATAAACAATGTCTTGATTCTTACTAAGCAATAAGGGTTCGTGTACTTGCCCGGGCTTTTGTGGTTGAGACAGAAGTACAGCTCTGTACTAGTGACCTATTGCTATGTAACAAGTTGCACTAAAACCTAGTGACTTAAAACATTATTTCAGAGTTTCTGGGTGGTGGGTGGCTCTAGCTCAGGATCTCGAATGAGGTTGTCATTAAGATGCTCTTGGCTGGAGCTGCAGGCATCTGAAGACTTGAGGCTGGAGGATCTTCTTCCAAGCTCCCTGGGGTAGCTTTCGGCGGGAGGCCTCCGTTCCTCCTGGTGGTTGCTTAGAGGTCTTCATTCCCCACCTCAGAGGCCTCTCCATAGAGTTGCTTACTGCTCACATGGCAGCTGGCATCCCCCCAGAACAAGGGATCCAAGAAAGAGCAAGACAGAAGCCACACAGAGTTCTTTATGACCCCACCTTGGAGGTCACATACCATCCCTGTGATACATTTTATTGGTCACACATGACGACGTAACCAAAGTTGGGGATTGTTGAACTCATCTTGGAAACTGACTGCCACAAATCATAAATAAAATTTCTATATTGGCATGTGTAGGTTATAATCTGTAATTTGCATGATTTTAGACCAGAGTTTCTCAATTAGGGTCCCCCAGGGGACATTTGGTTGTTCAACTGGGGCAATGGGTAGTGGCGTGCAGCTGGCATCTGGTGGGTAGAGGCCAGGGATGCTGCTAAACACCCTGCAGCGTACAGGACAGGCAACGAATCATCCAGCCCCAGTGTCAATTATGTCGAGGTTGAGAAACGCTGTCCTAGCTTATTCCTTGCTTTTTAAAATTAATTTGCAAAGTAAATACTATACGTGAGTCTCATTATTTATACAATGTTTAATAATTCTGGAAGGAGCTTATAAATTCTACTGGTAGGAAGAATGCCTTAGATTGTTTGCTAGCAAAGATTGATTCTAGCAAGAGTCCCCCATCCAATCTAAATTCTAAGCAAACCCTGTTTCAGCTGATATTCCACCTTCCAGAGTGCTTATGCTACTGTACAATAATCTTTATGTTCAAGCGTATATATTAAAAGCTAATCATTTTAGAAAAATATTTTTAATTAAGGCAATATTCTTAGACATAGCTATTCATTCAACAAGAAACAAAAGTATCTTTAATTATTGACTTTGGGCTTTTTATTTTTATTTTCATTTTTATTTTTTAATATTTTTTATTGATATCAGAGAAGAAGGGAGAGGAAGAGGAGGAGGAGAAGAGAGAGAGAGGGAGAGAGAAGCATCAATGACAAGAGAGAATCATTGATCAGCTGCCTCCTATACGCCCCACACTGGGGATCGAGCCCACAACCAGGCATGTGTCCTGACTAGGAATCAAACCGTGACCTCCTGGTTAATAGATTGACATTCAATCCTAAGCCACACCGGCTAGGCTGAGCTTTATTTTAGAAAGTCAGTTTTATATTGGTAGGTATAGTATCTTTTTTAAAGAAATGGTTAAGTAGCTAGCTACTACTATCATAAGGCATTACACAATACTATAAGTAGTTGATTTTAGTGGTTCCATAAAATAGCAAAGTGGTTGGTTCCATTGATTGACTCATGTTCAGTTCAAACATCCCATTAGCAGTTGTCTGTGGGTGTTGCCAACACTGGTTTTCACGGGTTTAGAGAGCACCCAGTATTGGCTCATTTTTAAAGTAAATTTTATATAATTATAATTTTTGTTGTGTAGTTAATTATTAAGCACCTATTCTCTGCCAGGTACTGTGCTGCTTACCTGATATCTTCATCTGGATGTCTAATAGATTTCTCAAATTTAACATATTCCAGATGTAACTTTATCACTTCTGTTCAAAATTTAAGTCTTGTGTCAGTATATGGTATCGTCAAATCACCCACCTATTTAAGCATTAAAAAAAACCTATGAATCGATTTGGCTTTCTTTTTTTTTTTTTTCATGGTCCAAGTCCAGGCCAGGAGTAACCTCTTTTGGTTACACTTCCAGCATGTATTTCAGATCTGTCCACGTTTCTCCTCTGTCTCATTTAAACATCTACTTAGTCTAATACCCTGTCTCAGGAATTTTCTCTATTGTCTATCAGTGTCCTATTGATTTCCCTCATAGCATTAATCACAACTGATAGTTAATTACTCTGCTCACTTATGGTCTCTTCTGCTAGAATGTAAGATCTCTGACAGTAGGGACCTCATCTATTATACCTTGTTCTCTGGCTCCTTAGTCCCTGGCTGTGCCTTTCAC